CAGCCCTGAAGGAAAGGACCTCACCTTCTCTCCTTTGTGCCTGGAACTCATGTTCCAACCCTAAACCCCTGGTGGTGGTGGTGGTGGTGGTGGTGGTGGTGGTTGTTGTTGTTAATGAGAATGTGGAAGATAATTAATGGAGAGAAGCCAACAAAGTAAGAAACTAGTGACACAAAGGCTAAGACAGCAAATCACACAAGGAGTTTTAAAAACTACAAAAGAATAAAAAAGGAAATGGATTTACAGAATGGTCAATGGTATTGCAATGGTTCTCTTTGTTTTATGGCCTCATAGACTCTAGGCACGATAGCTTCCCAAACAACACAGTGTGTGGCGAGGCATGGGTGATCTGGAAACTCAGCATGACCGTGAGCAGTCAGCCCCTTGCCCCAGTCCCAGTGTGAGCATCACTATACAAATGGATGGAGAGAACCCAAGCGACAGTGAAAAAGGAAGAAATAAGGTCTAGAAAGGACAGGATCAGTAAAGATGAGGAAGCAACATTCCTAAACTACCCTCCCCAGACCACTTCCACGAGATGCTGAGAACTGTGAAAAGAGATTCTTTCATGACCAATTTAGAGAACTGTTAGGTTAAACAGGATTACAATGGCTTCTTGACTGCAAGACTTACTAGAACCTACAAAACATTAAATGTATTCTCAATCTCCAACACAGGATTCATATAAAGAATTTTTTACTTATCTGGTCAAAGAATCCTTATTTTTCAGAACATCTTCCAAGATTGGTGTTCTGAATAATGCTCTTTGGAAATCCTAGTGTAGGATAGTAAGGCACAAAATAAGGAGCAAAAAAAAAAAAATGCAAGGGACAAAACAGAGTCAGTTGAGAGGTTAATAAACACTAATAAACTTAGTACTAATATTAATTAATAATTAGCTTATTCATCCCAGCATATTAAAAATGAGATGACCTTTGGGCCATTTAATTCATTTGGAATAACTTCCCATCATTCTGGAAGTACAGTTACAATCATGAAATTATGGAACATAATTGGTTCAGAGACAATAATAAAACCATGTATCACACTAACAGGAACAGCACAGTAAATTTCTAGGCTAGAGTTATGATAGTCTTTTAATTAATGGCAGCTACAAGCTTGGAGCATCCCCCTCTATTCACTGCTGCAGGAGGAACAGAAAAACATGAGCTATTAAGAATATTTTAGTAGATGTCAAAGGGAACGTTTGCTTTTGGAGTTTAAAGGTGGTAAAAAGCAAGCTCTTATGCTCAGAATGCTTTGTTCTTCCAGTTGAGTCACTTCCAGGGTTATGAATGGACAAAAAACTAATTGAATATTTTCACTTTAATTGAATACTGCCCTCTGCTGGGATGTGCACAGTTTCTAATGTCCAACAAGCATATAGACATTAAAGCAGTGTCTAGAGCAGTGGTTCTCAACCTTCCTAATGCCTCATATTGTGATGATCCCCAATTTCATTGTTACAAATTGAACATAATTAAAGCATAGTGATTAATCACAAAAACAATATGTAATTACATATGTGTTTTCTGATGGTCTTAGGCGACCCCTGTGAAAGGGTCATTCGACCCCCAAAGGGGTCACGACCCACAGGTTGAGAACCACTGGTCTAGAGGCTCTATAAAATATACACATTGTTTGAAGTTAGAGGACTTGAGTTTCTGTCCAAATTATTTTTCTTATCGGTTGAGTGACTGCAGTCCAACTGACAGCAAGGTATGTATTAACTTGTCCGTCCCGTAGGCCAGTGGTCGGCAAACTCATTAGTCAACAGAGCCAAATATCAACAGTACAACGACTGAAATTTCTTTTGAGAGCCAAATTTTTTAAACTTAAACTATATAGGTAGGTACATTGTTATTAACTTAATTAGGGTACTCCTAAGCTGGCCTTTGCTAAAAACATCCTCAATCTGATTGAGGTACGTTCGCTGAGGTCGCCCCCTTCCAACTCTCCCATCCACACTAGTCTTGTCTACTTGTTTCGTCTATCTCCTTTCATTCACCCTCTCTATTTGTCCACCCCCCACTTCTTCTAACGCCACTTCTTCAAAATAGACTCGCCCGGGCTAAAAACCGACTTCTGCGCATGGGTCACGAAGTTTCAATCGCACTGTAAATGCACGCCCGCATGTGGTATTTTGTGGAAGAGCCATACTCAAGGGGCCAAAGAGCCGCATGTGGCTCACAAACTGCAGTTTGCTGACCACTGCCCTAGGCCCATCGAACTCAACCTAAAACTGAGTACATTTTTGTCATGATCCTGCTTCCTGTAAGGCCCATCCACCCAGGGACACACCAGGAACTGCCTTTTTCCCTCACCATGACACCCATGTGACATACTACACCTTCAGGACAGAACCCACCTGTCCCCACCTCTTCACACTCATTACACTGCTATGATGCTGACCTTCTTCTGCATTACTTTCAGCAGCTCCCTGGCCCCTCCAGTCTATTCTCTACACTCTCACAGTGACCTTTCTAAAATAATAATCTAATCTCAGTTCCTTCAAACAGCTTCCCTGTCAGGGTAGATTTCCAGTTCCTTGCCTGTACAAGTCCTGCTGACCTGCCTCTGTCCCAAGCCTGTGTTCCTGGCATATCTCACACACACACACACACACACACACACACACACACACACACACACACACACACACACACCATACTCCAGGGCTGCAAAACAACCTGCATTTCCCACCCCCCGACTCCCCAATGCATCATGCATAAACTGGTTCAGGACTCTGTATTGCATATATTTCCCCTGTCTAGATTCCCATCCCTCTATTAGATCACAGCTCCAGGGTCACCTCCTCCAGGAAGCCTTCCATCACACTCCACAGAGTTCTCATCGTGCTAGAGCCACATTACTCCCGTAGCACTTATCATAATGTGCTGGGACAGCTTGTTTTCCTGCCCCAATCTCAAATTGTTCACCCTGTAAGGACAAGAACTTAGAATTTAAGTACATATTTAGACCTTATTTTTGTCCTCAATTCGTTCAATGGTGTAATACAGGGGAATAAAAAGACAAAAGACATAATGAAAAATTGGAAGTTGACTTAAAAAAAAAAAAAAAGGAAAAACAAGGGCGAGGGCTTAAGAAATAACGGTAATGCAAAAACGCATCTAGCAGTACCCTACACATTTGCAACTGGCTGGCCAGAAACTTAGCTCCAACTTTTTATCAGCCAACTAGAAGCAAGAAATCTGATCCGTTCCAGTTAGAGCAGTAAAGCCAGCCAAATGCTCAGAAGAAGCCAGCATTCCTGACATGAGACCAGAAGAGGCTTCCCCTGCAGGTCTTCCAAAGAAAGTGTGAAGTTACCCACCGCCGCCTAGGGCAGGCCGGGCAAGCGGCAGCTCCCTCAACGGGGCCAGCACATCACCCACAGGAGAGAACAGTGAGGGCACTTCCGCGGGGCCCACACGGGTGCCACTGGGGAGGGAGCTCAGCTGGTGAGCTTAACCCAGGAGTGTGTGCCATGTGGGTGGGCCACGCAGGCATCCGACAACATGCCACACACTTTCCTTCTCCAAGATAAAGTTTTACCGAACATGAGATCAAAGAGTTTAAGATTATACTACCTGACAAATACCTGGAATGCAACTAATCTGTGTTGCTTATTACAAGAAGAATTAAAGGTATAAACCAGCAGTCAACAACTGGTGGCTTAGGGACAAGGATCTCGTCCTATTTTCTCTCCCTAACCCCAGCATCTAGTATGGTGGCTCTCAGCCCTCTCAGACTGAGGCATCAGTAGGATTCCATGTGTTACGATGTGGAAAAGAGGAGTGACAATGTGTTGCCCCTTTACATGAACAGATAGTTTGTAATGCCCCCTCCACTATCCTGGATTTACAAGATAATATACCCAAATAATAATCCTATCCTCACATATAATTTCAAAAAATGAAAACAATACTCTAACATATAAAGCAAAAGGAAACTGATAAAAGATAATATGTATTTCAATCTACAAAACCTTTGCCCTAACTATCCTAGAAGACATAGTGATGTAGTCAGATTCTTGGAACTACTGTTTTAGAAAATAAAACAAAAAGAACAATAAAAAATAAGTCCGAATCCATTCCATACAACAAGTATGGGAATGTGCAACGATAGAGGTGAGAATGCTCCCTAGAATCACAACTTGTGTTTATTACCAGGACTCCCTAACAGATCAGACCTTTGTGTGTATGTAAAGAGGAAAGAACCTGAATTGAGGTAGAGATTGCTTGCCCAGGTAAACTTCTTAGTTGGAGAAAATAAGAAAGTACCACATCCTGGCAAATGAGCTGGGTGCTATGCACAAGTGCAGCATCAACATGACTCCATGTGTTGTGACATGGAAAAGAGGAGTGACGATGTGTTGCAAAAATTATACCTCCTGCCAGGACTCCCACCTCGAGTAGATTTGTAGCTTCAGTCTCTGAAGCTCCCTCAGGACGGTGAACCACGGGGCAGGACAACCAGGCTGGGCAGGGCTGTCCGTACCCTGCAGAACATCCCGCAGCCCCGCCCCTTGCCTCTACATGCCAGGGGTGCTGCCCGCAGCCCTCGTGACAACAGAGATACCTTCACGTCCTCCATCTTCTTCAAGACCCATTACCCAGCACAGAGTAGAGGCTCCACAATGTGAAACAAGCTAAGGAACAAGCAAGTGATGAAGGACTGAATGGGATGAACAAACCGAACTTGAAAATGAGGTGGGTAATCGGTGTGTCAGGAGAGTGCCCTGAAGATCAGGAGTGTGGGAGGACCTGGCCCAGGACCTGGCAAACAGCACTCAGTGGATGCCAATTGTTAAACAAAAGTGCACAGTATATTTCATGTGACGCTGTCAGAGGACCCAGGGGCCACGTGGTAGCCCACAACCCTGACCTTGCCTCTGATCCCCCTCATCCTGGCTCTTCTTCACTGTGCACGTCAAGCCCAGGGAGCCGGCTAGTCTTGTGCACTTTCTGAGCTCCCGGGGGGAGAAGGAGCATGCATACCTTCTTCGGTTTCTGCAGTACTGGAAGGCATATCTGATTTTTCCTCTGGCCTGGTTTCTTGCTCTTCAAGAGTCTAAGGAAGCAAGAGAAAAAAATCACTGATTACCAAATGAGGCCTCAAATCTGCAACAAAGAGATAAAATCACATTCAAGGACCTCAGAGCAGGGACAGCCCAGAGGCGTGGTCTGGGGAGGTGGGGGAAGATCGGCAGCACCCCAGGAAGACGGTGAGAGATGTAGGGGGAACCTGGAGGCATGGCCCAAAACCGTCCCTGAAACTAATCCTCTCCTGCTTCCCGGGTCACGACAAGGTTCTCAGAACGTGACACGTGAACCAAAAAGGGGGACAGAGAACAAAGTCTTGAAACCAGAAAGAATGGCCACTGTTTTATGCATCTGCCCACCTAGCCCAACCCCCATCTGCACCCTAAGATACAGGGATCTCCGGGGCCCAGATGATGGAGAAGGACCACAGCCCTCATGATAACAAGGCTGAGCATGGGCCTTGGGCTGCAAGCTGACACACACAGGTGCAGGCTGTCCCTGGCCGAGACTAAGCTTGTGAACCTTAAAGAGAAGCTGTCCTCTTTGGAACCCTCTGTATTTTCTATTGAAATGGATTTCCCACAGCCAGTGAAGATGTGAAGAAAAACAGAATTATGTGTTAATGAGACACATGGTAAAACCACCCAAGACTGCAGCAACACTTGTTCCAAATTGAACACATGGGCAAACCTAGACAACCCTACAACAGACACAGATGTCTGCAACCCCTTAGCATGACATGACGTGTATCATTTCTCAGCATTCTGATGGACAAAATGCTGCTACAGGGAGAGAGCTAAAACTGGATTAAAAGACAGAGCTAAGGTTTTTGCCTAGTATTTAATCTTCTAATATCTCCCTTCACAGTTTGGATATGTAGCACCAGCCTGTCATTATCTAACGTTTAATAGCCATTACAAATTTCCAGTCCGCCAGTGCTGCTGTAAGAGGATGTGAGGACACGAATCTTTTACAAGTCTGAACAAGTGTGGCTCTGAGTGGGGTCGGCCGAAGGGCTCTTGAGCATGGCACAGCACACTTAGGTTCTGCAGCAAGGTTTTGCCATTGTTCTGGAAGCTGCAGATAACTGTGCAATACTGAAACCCTGAGACTGAAGTTGCCTCCTTAGCGACACTGTGGTTCACCAAGGATGAATTAGGCCCTCAGATCAAGTCAGATATAAAAATAGACTATTATCCTGGCTGGTGTGGCCCAATGGTTGAGCATCAGCACATGAACCAAGAAGTCCCCAGTTTGATTCCCAGTCAGGGCACATGCCTGGGTTCAGGCTAGATCCCTGGTGGGGGGCATACAGGAGGCAGCTGATCCATGTGTCTCTCTCATCCATGTCTCTATCTCTCTATTCCTCTCCTTTCCTCTCTCTCTAAGAGCAATAAAAACGTATTAAAAATAGACTTTTAGAAATCTAAGACTTAAGAAAAGCATGAATACTTATAATAATGCATAATCTCATATTTGTTACCCAAAACTGTAAAGCTTTGGCGTGGATAACCTATATAACAATTACCACCTGTTCACATTTAAAATAACATCTAACCAAGTAAGAAGTACGTGCCACCAAAAAATTTAGATTCAATAATCCCATAAAAACATTTGGTGGGCAGGTAAGAATTAATGCCTTTGGATGTTCTAAAGAATCTCAGCCTTGCTCCCTCCCCATCTCCCCATTCACTACCCAGCCACAACCCTCGGGGTAGGAAGAAAAAGAGGGGTGCTAAGACCTGGAACAAAAGGCCATGCCATTGTAACTGATTCTTTTATCAACGTTATGGCATAAACAAACTTTCTCAGTGTTTTTCATGAAGTGAAAATCTCCAAGGAACTGGAAAGCAATTTCCATTTGGTCTTTGTTATTGTAAAGTCCACTATGAAAGAATATTAAAGCATCTACAGTTACTCCTCCTAAATCTTCCCCAAGGTTGATCAGCGCTATCTCAGATGTGTTATGCGAAATCACAAATCCAAACTAAGAAGTTGGAGGATTTTATAATGGAAAGAAAGTTCAATAATGTTTGCTGTACACAGAGCTTGCTCCATCCTTCTCAGGAGTGTGTCACCAGGTGCCGTGCTGCCATCTGAGGACACACATGTTGCTGAGCTCCGCCCTGAAGGGCCTGCACGGAGCAGAGTGCAGCTCGAGCAGTGCTGCTTCCCAGGCCACGCCTGTGCCCGGCCGGGACAGCCACACCAGGTGCCAGGGGAGAAGCGCAGGGATGGCTGAAGGCTTCGTATCTTTACATGACAAGTGCCCGTAAGCAAAACAGGAAACACCATATGCCAGAAAATTACACACGAAATGTCCTAAAATCCAACAAAAGGAAGTAGTTCATACTCTGAAGAGCATGTTTCATTCTAGTTGTTTAAATAAAACCCTATATGGTTGGTTTAAATAAAAGCCAACAATAATCTGCATTTTAGAGATAATGTTTTGAGCTAAATCTTTCATTTGGCAAGAACTGTGGTAAGTAACAAGACGAGTCTCCTGAACTGTGTGCTCTGTGAAGTCTGTACTCCATAAAGCCGTGCCATATGAATGGACATGCTTGAGAGCACAGGGTCACGGGATCTGTGGGTGAACCCTGACACCCCTGAGCACTCTCAACTAAACTGACTCAGCCCTTTTACTCAAAAAACATTTTGCTTAATAATAATTAAGAGATGTAAATATTCTTTATATTCTTCCAGATCCCACCCAAAAAATAAAAATAGTGAAGATGAAACATCTTAAACCCTGAGAAGGGTGTGCTATGATGGCACTCAATGCTGTGTGTGGGGCCCGGTGGGGGGGGGGGGGGGGCGGGGAACTTCTCTGAAAAAGAACTGGTTTCAAGTGATGAGACCCCTCTCAGGAAGAATCTGTACCCTGGGACAAATGCTTAACTACACCTAAGCCATAAGAAACCCACAGTAGATATTACGCAAGTAACATTACCCTAAATACACTGCTTTAGATAAGAATTATAGCATAACCAATACATTAATAAAAAATATCCAATGTTAGAATTTTTAAAGTCCACCAATGACAAAGCAAGCTCATAAAAAGCAAAAGAAACAAGAACACTATATAAATTCCTATTTTCTACTACCCAAATATTACATAATAATCTTCATTCTACTGTGTAACAGTTTCCAATTCCCTGCCCCCCAAGCTTCTATTAGGAAAATGCTGTTCCCCAAACAATGAGTGCTGCCTGCACTCGCCGGGCGCGGGTTATTGTACACTAGAATCACGGGGCACAAACCTTGATGAGAAAGGCTCTATCCCAAAAGTATTTCCTGAAGAGTTTAATGTCTGCCTCCAACAAATGCTCGGCCGTGTGGTGGAGCGTCAGGGTCAGCGTTCCTGACGCGTGGATATACTGCAGGAAGGCATCTTCGCTGAGCTGCACTCGGGAGAAGCCTGGGGAACGTCTGCCCTGGAAACTGAACGTCACAAATCAAAACCCACGCACAGCTTAGGAAGCACCCGCCTCCAAATCCCACTGCCCCTGATATCACAAATCCAACTGGCAAACAGGTCCTCGAAAGCCACCTGCTGACAGTACCAGTAAGTACATAAAGTCATGAAAACAGGCTCTAATAAAGCCATCTTTCTTTTTCTACCGAGAGGAGATATCAATTGAAAAGCCATTTACATATATCATATACCTTAAAGATTTATATAAATAACGAAACAGTATTGACTTTACCTCAATATTTCATTCTCCTTTCAATCTGAAAAGATGCCTCTCCCTTTAATGGGGCCACAAGTAGAACAAATTAGCAGGCAGCCACCAGTTTATTAGATGATTACAGTGGAAAACAGACAGGCTCTCCAGGGAACATGGTAAGGTTTGGATGTTACAAACAGTGAGATATTCAAAACACACTGGCCTGCTGCTGTAAGTCATTTTCTCATGCAAATGAAAACATGCATAAATTTGATCCTATTTCATTCTTGAATACACTCCCATAAACAAAGGCACAATATTCCCAAACTAAGTTCCTGAATATCCATTTATTTTCTGTTCTGTTTTGGCTAAGAACAGTTCCACATTTATTGGCTATATGTAGGCTTCATGGGTAGTATCATAGTATTCGGGATGGCTTATCAGCTCATGCGATAAAAAGAATAAAGAAACCTCAGGAGGAAAATGTGAGTGGCTCCCAGGTGACAGCCCTCAGCATGTCACACCCCAGCAGCTCGCTCCCAGGTTCCCTGTGTCACAGAACTAGTGCTCTGCCTCTTTCCTCTCCATGGCCTCATTCTGTTCACAAACGTGTGTCCTTCAGAAACACAGTGTACTTCCAATCCAGTAAGTGTTACCTCCATCATAGGGAGTGACAAGAAGAGATCCAGAAAGAGCACTTATGCTCTATGGTTTGGGGCATCTTCCTAACCTCTTGGCACTAATAACTGGCAGGGACTCCAGAATCATCCAGGAAACAACTTCCTATTCCAATGACAAGCCGCTGAGACAAATGGACAATGGGCTCGGAGCCTGAGCAATCAGGTCACTGCTATTAATTTAGAAAATAGAAGCTCTAAATTTAGCTGACAGTCAGTCTACTTCTAATCCCACCCATGAATGGATTTATTAGAGGTGTAAACTTTTAAAACACATAATATCTTCTGGTCTTGGACCCAGAAGAAAGATAAAAGCTACAAGATGAAGAAGTCAGCCTCCAGGATCTCAATGGAACAGTCACTAAGTCGAAAGAAGCAGTCCTGCTGGGTCATGGCAGAGCAAAGAAAAGGGCAATTCTCTGTGGATGGGTTCTTTCCTTGGTTGGTGATCATTTGACCAAATGAGGGGGGAGAAAACACACAAAAAAAGAAAGCTCTGACTTCTACTCCAAGATCCATATATGGCCCACCCAGTGTGGCTCGGTGATTGAGTATGGACCTATGAACCAGGAGGTCATGGTTCGATTCCCAGTCAGGACATGTGCCCAGGTTGCGGGCTTGATCCCCAGTGAGGGGGTGCAGGAGGCAGCTAATCAATGCTTCTCTCTCATCATTGATGTTTCTCTCTCTCTCTCTCTCTCTCTCTCTCTCTCTCTCTCTCTCTCTCTCTCTCTCTCTCTCTCTTTTCCTGAGATCAATAAAAATATATTTTTTATAAAGATCCATGAATGGATCATAAAACCATAAATTAATTACATTGAGTTCTATGAGCCAAACAAGAAAAACAAGTCCATTAATACTATAATAATGCTGACAACACTTAATATTTATGTAGCCCTTTGGAATTTTTAATATACTTTCCCATTTGCTTGAAGGATTTTTTTTTCCACATGTTAAGTGAAGAAAATTACCATATATGAATCCTCTTTTCATAGCTTAAGAATAATGACCAATCTGAACCATGTAACAATATACTCATAATTCATTGAAAGTGTGGATATCATCATCAACATAGACAACATTACAGTTGATAAATTACTTCACTAGATCCTGATAACCACCCATTGACTTTATAGTGTTTTAGGGTTTGTCTGTCAGTCATTGATTCAACAAAAACTTATATTTTTTCAGTGAATGTTATGTGCTGAACACGGGGGTGGGTAAAACATAAATGGTTTCAGCCCTCAGATTTAGGAGGGAGACATATGAAACAGGTGATCACTATATATATAAAATTCTAAATTACAGTGAATATTGTAAATAATTTTAGTCACAATTACTATTGTGAATTAATAATCATAAAAGACCATAAAACAAAAGGCATCTCGGAAGAAGTGATATGTAAGCTGAAACCCCAAAAATAAGTAGGGGTTATTAATTATTATTAAGTATAGCTACCTATAGAGATTTTGAGACTTTTTTCCCTGCCTCTTCCTCCCCCATAAAGTGTTAATGCCAAATATACCTGTATATCTGTGTATGTACTTTATACATGAGAACTAAAGGTAAAACATAAACCAATATTAGCTTGTGGCTTGGTTATTTCAATTTTTTCCATAATGCTTTGCAGACCTTAGAGAAACAGATTGCGAGAGAAACTACCAAGTAGGCAGACTCACTTTGTGATGCTGTCAGCCAGCGTGGAGTGCCCACCACTTAAAGCTAAGTCTACTGGCGTGGCACCCTCTTCATTGGGTAAAGCCAAGGCCTGAACGCCCCCCGGGAGACACACGAGGAACGTGGACAGCTTCGGCAGGCCCCAGCGCACAGCCAGGTGGAGGAGGGACTCTCTGGGAAGAGTAACTGAAAAGAAGACAAACCCATGTTAGTCCCTGTTTCCAAACTCGGTCTCACACATGTTATCAGAGACCACGCATTAGACACAGTAAGAACGACAGAGCTGGAGGAACCACCATAAGCATCGAATCCAACCCCTCATTTACAGACGTGGAGAGCTCAGTGACCTGCCCAAGGTCGGGTAGCTGGTAGCTGCTGGAGCCAGGTCCCCTCGTTGCTGATACAGGGTTCTTTCCACCACTAGGGGGCATGTCCACATCCCCTTTCACTCACATGCAGCCAAGTCTTCCAGGGAAAACAAGGGCTGGGAACAGACCACACTTTGGAAACAGGCACCCTCTGAGGAGATGGTGCCACTGCCGCAGGGCAGGCTCCCAGAGGCCAGTGCTGGAAAGCAGCCTCCGTTTCCACCCTGTCCTCTGGTGAGAAACTGGGCAGAAAGGGGCTTCACATGTCCAGGAAACTGGAGACCATGGTCCCCCCGAAACTTCACCCATCTATTAGATCTGAGGGATTATTTCAGTGTTGCCAAAGCCACCCAGCTCCTGGTGTAGCTGAGTGTCTTGGTTTACTTGTGGTGTTTGCTGCTCTATATACCATGATTGTTTCCTAGCTGTATCATCTTACAGGTTAAGGGGGTCCTTGAAGTTTTTTATTCCTAACATCCAGCATCCTATCTGGCAAACTGAAGTCATTTGGTATTTGCAGAGTCGAATGGCAAAATCTCAGTTATTTGTGTATGTTTAAAATGCCTGATTTATATAGAGCTTATGCACCTGTATTTCTATGGCAATGACCCAGTGTCTGGAACCCAAGTCGTCCATGATAAACATTATGTTGGAAATATGCAAAAGAACTAATTTGCCTACATTTTTAAAAAACCTAGGGCTGTGAACTCCGTAGACATCAAGACACACCTTAAAACAAGCCTAATCTTAACAAACTGAACATGAAAATTCTAACATTCAAGATCTGTTGGAATAAACATGCAGTAATTTATTAGATTATGGCTCTGTGTTTTCTAAAATGGTTGTACTAATTCATATTTTATCTAGTAATGAATGTAAATTCATGAGGGCTTAGTAATTTATTTTTCAATCTTCCAACCTGAATTTTTGCTAACTGAAAGGCATAGTCAAAACTTATGTAGGTATGACAATAACCTTAAATTTGGACTGGGCAGTAGATATAAATCACTGTCGTTAAGTAATAACCAAACTGGCCAACCCTGCACATGGCCTCAGGCCCTCTGGAAGGCCTCCTGGTGTGTGCCGCATTCCATACAGCCTTTTCCTGAAAAACCCAGGGCAGGGATGAACACTCCTAGGACCTTGATATCTTTGAGGCGCCAGCCCGGTTTTCCAGGCAGAGAAACTGAGGAGTGTCCGAGTGAGGGGCCTGGGCTTTGAGCCGCCTCCCCTGCCTGGGGCAGATGAGCCCCTATGCCCTGATGGGAATTCGGACTGAACGACACAGCCTGCTCAGTTCCTTTCTGTGCCTGGGCGATCTTGCGCCCAGGATGTTATACGTCACACCTTTTAATGTTTGCCATTAGAGCAATCCTTAGTCATTCTGTTGTGGTTACCCTTTAGTTCAAATAACTCCTGGCACCAGCCAAACAGGAAGAGACCTATTTATTAGGGGGCGGGGGGGGGGGGGGGGGGGGGGGGGGGGTGGTGAGGAAGGGGTGTTTCATTTTAATTGAACACCTCCACCTCTGCCAAATTGCATAACCCCTTTTCCAAGCTTGTCTTCCTGGCTGCTGTTAAGAATCTGAAACTCTCTAACAAGCAGGATAATTTATATATGTCATAATGTTTCCTATTGCAAGCTGTTTGCCTGATTCTGTGCTCAGAACTTTTATACTGAATGAGAAAGCGCTCTCTTAAAACATTTCGCTCAGTTTCTTCCTTTTTTCTTTTCTTTTTTTTTCTTCCAACATTAGAAGACCTCTCTCCTGCTGCCTTCCCATCTCCCAGGAAGTGGGCAGGTTCTGGAAGAGGGAGGGGTGGGGGGAGGAGGGAGGAGAGTGCCTTCTGTCCTCTCCCATTGAACACGATGTGAGGATGGAGCCAGAAAGGAGAGGACAGGGAGCTGGACTAACAGGACAGACCTGGAAAGCTCTCTTGGTGGAGGAAACAGCTCCCCCTGCCACCCACCCCAACCCCCCAAAAAAACCCTCCCACTGTTGGTCAGACTGAACACACACACGTACACAATAAAATACACAGTTGTGTTAAAGGTCCTCCCCAGAACAATTAAAACAGAATTTCTAGATCAGAGTCCAAGCATCCATCTTTTCTGAAGATTCCCAAGATTCTTATGCAAAGTCAGGGTTGGTATCTCTCACCTTAAATAAATAAGTGGTTAACAAAATATATGTTTTCTATTTATACCTCTGTCTTCCCAATCAGCTTTTAGGTAAAAAGTTTCACCAATAAATAAGAACAAAAAACAATGTTTGTGACTTTGGCAAGTTATTTTAAATTCATATTACTTACTGCTAAGCCAGGATATAGCCTTAAACATTGAGCAAAATATTAAAAACTACTAAAATATTTTAACATATTAAAGCTAAAATGTGATGGGCAGAATAATCTAGAAGTAAATGATATTTTTAAACACAAATTAATTCAGAAGTAGTTCTACATTGTAGGGTTTAGTAATGTTTTGTAACTCCTGAGTGGAGCCACTAAAATATATTCAACACTGTAAGTTTATAAAGAATAATTTTTTAATTCACATAAATCTAATTCATTAAAATAAATAATTCTGGTTTCCAAAGTCACACACATGTACTTCACGGAAGTCTCAATTTGAGCATCTAAGTCATTCAGTAGATACACACTGAATGAAACTACTACGATGGTAACCGTGAGGAAACTCCATTTTTTAACATGAGCCTTTCTCCTTTCTTTCCGACCACTCCCTTCCTTAATCACTAAGTCCTTAGGACATCAGATTCTGGTCAGCATCAAACTGTGGCAAGAACAAAGCCTCAGGTCTTTTGACCACAGAAACAAGAGTTTGGTCAAAATAAAGATAACATCAGCCCCAGGCCCATGACCTTGTGAACCACTCCCTCAGGAAAACAGACAGAACAATGCCATGTTTGATGTCAGGATCTGATGCCCTACCCTGGCCCCAACCAAGCAGTAGAGCCCATGACCCCAACCCTGTTAGCCACCATGATTAATGGTTTTCCCCTATATAACTCATCCCCTGGGAGAACAGTGGTTAGCACTAGCTCACCTGTGATTCCAGGCTTAGCACCATTCCCTCAACTAATCAACCTCTACTTTCTTTGCTATAATTCCTGTTCAAATTTAATTGGGCTTTAATGGGTACGGGTAAACGGCCTCTTTTACTCTGGTAACACTATATGCCAGGCCCTGTGGACACAGATGAACACGGTCCTTGTCTTTGAGAAGCACACAGTCAGCCCACTTTTGTTCAGAGTAAAATAAATATCTGTGAAATCACTGTCTGATGATGACCGTTCTAGGCTTGACATAAAGAGGGTGAATAGAAATAAAGAAACAATGTGCCCTACCTCCAAGAACACTGCTCTGCCGGTTAATCCAACCTACTCACCTTTCATGACTTGAAAATGTAAAGATGTTGATAAAATGCCAAAATGATGAATAAAACATAAAGAGAATGAAAATAAAAAGTACCAGAACGTACATGGAAAGTTGAAGAGAGAACCCGGCATCTCACATTTTTTTAGGACTCTCAATGAGAATGGAAGGAGAGGTCATGTCTACGGCAGCTTCCATTTAGACCAGCGGTTCTCAACCTGTGGGTTGCGACCCCTTTGGCGGTCGAACGACCCTTTCACAGGGGTCGCCTAAGACCATCCTGCATATCAGATATTTACATTATGATTCATAACAGTAGCAACGTTACAGTTATGAAGTAGCAACAAAAATAATTTGATGGTTGGGTCACATGAGGAACTGTATTTAAAGGGCCAGAAGGTTGAGAACCACTGATTTAGATGGTCTAACCAGGGCTTCGGTGTGTGCGTAAACAAATCAGCCTTCCACCCAAGATCGGAGGTTGGTCACTCCAGGATAGGAATTACAAATATAAATACGCTCAGGGGAAAGAGATGGAAACGGGACGTGCCTCCAGGGAGCACAACACAGGCATGGTGGGCGTGGATGGCGCGTAAAGCCAACAGGTAGAAGGGAAGTGAACAAGCATAATGGCAGGTTTTCGTTTCCTGAATCTTCTTTTCTGCAACGGATGCACTTGGTACACTCAGCTGACAGCCACCCCTGACTGAAAATAACCTGGGAAGACACCAATCGCACACGCACAGTTATTCCGGAAAACGTGCATTGCGATACACGACCCTGGAGTGTACTTCATGGTGCTCACATCTCACCGAGGCGGGTTCTACTTTACTTTACCTCGTGGAACTAGTACTAACTCAATGGAAACATGAAAACGTCTTTATCAGAATTCAAAGATGGCAATCTAACGTCTGGCCTTCACACGTTCAGGCTGAATTCTAAAATACGGACATCGATACAAGATATTACGAATCCAGACACAACACCATTGAGTGCAAAGGGGAACAGGCTAAAAGGGTGACATGTCTGGATCTGAATGCATGCCGAGATGTAGCTTTGAGCAGACCACTTAGTCCTCAAGCTTTAAAAGCTGCAGGATCTGTAGAAGGAAAGTGAAATTTTCCCGACCTCCTACTGGGATTGTGAGGAGTCTGCCAGGAAAATACCACATGGGACAGAGTTCTTGAGAATGAGGAAAGCCAGTACTGGGGGACTTATCAGTCCCACATATTTGTCTGATCTTTTAATACCAAAAAATATAATAAACAGTCACTAAATTGATATGTGGTACATTTGAAAACAGTTTTCTTCAGGTTATAATTTAAAAGCATAATTTAAGGGAACTAGCTGTCTGCTTAGGAGGCACTGTAATTGCATCAGTGTCAGACACCAGCTGTGCCATTAGGCAAATGTGCTTCAGCCCAG